GGCCCAGTGCGCACCCGCCAGAGGGCCCCCTGTTTCGGCTGCAGCTGCGGCACGAGCCCGTGGCTGTGGGGCAAGGCACCTCTCAGAGAAGGAGCAGCCCATCCTCAGGTGCATCAGTGACTATGAGTCTTCCCAGCCGTGGGGAGGGAGCCGGGGCTGACTCAAATCCAAGCCCTAGGTAAATATTGCAGGTCTCCGTATCAATAGGAAACTTCCCTCTGACCTATAAAAAGATTTTTCAGTTCTCACAAAAGATTTATGCTGCTAATTGATCGATGATTTGATTTATGCTCCTATTTACTGCATGGAGGTATTTCAAAATTCTCTTGGGAAAGGCACGTACACTTATCTCTGTGGACAATCTGACTCTAGCATGGACAAAATAATATATTTGACAGAGTTGTACAGAAAAGGTTTAAAAGCCCCAGGCCTCCTCACACTGTTACCTTAACACAGTAAAGTTTAAATAAAGTGAAATATAGCCACAATTGCTTTAGTTCCTCCCCTTTTGCTTTAGGCAGAACCACTTCATTATTTCTTGTGACAGTACGTGACACCCTTCATCTTCAGATCAGCTTAAGGTATGCCATATCATAGGGGCTCCATTACAGGCTTTACCACTCAAAATAATCCTTGTGCCCTCCACAGTACAAGTCTTCCATTGGCAACTTATGAAAAAACGTAATTGCTATTTGTCTTAGAAATAGTGAATTGATAATGCTAAAATATTTGGTTTCCCTGCCAGTCCTCTTTTGCTTCTTGTGCATGTTAATTTGACCAACCAAACCCTTTCGACAAAAATCACTTTTAAGAAATTAACACATTGCTAATAAAATTGGTCAGTGTCTGTACCTGGTAGCTATGGGTATTTGTTTACATTGAGTTACTACCTATATTGCAGATCTCTGCAGATTAAAACACTTTTCCAGATCAGAAGATCAATCTTTGAATCTGCATTTGGTTACAGAAATCTGTTTTTTTTGTCTCCAAGCTAGTGGCTTTAGCCACATTTCTACTTCCATAAACAGGGGTCAGGACAATTGAACCCTCAGTCATTACTGTCCAAACTTCCTATAGCCCTTTGAGAAGGACCTCTAACAATCACACTTACCTCTGAGAGAACCTATATGCCAGTTCTTTTACTTCAGTACAGTTTTTAGAGCTTTTCTGCAATATTTTCTAAATATTCCATCCCATTTTCTAAATATTCCACTATTCCCAAGCCTGTCTGTATGACAGGTTATTCATCTTATTCTGAACAGCTGTGGGAGTTTCATGGTGCCACCCTAAACTTTTCACAATACCTCAGGTACTGCCCTGTTCCCCTGTGAATCTTAGTTCCACGATAACAAATACGATCTAATTCACAGAGGTGCTAAGTACTCATAACGATGACTGAAATCTGGAAGAGTTACAGATGCTCAGCATTTTGGGGGAAGAAAAAACAGACAAACATTTGCAATCTCAGGTCACAAAAGTCTCCATCAATATCTACTGATCAGCCTTCACATTATACAAATATTCAACAGTGTGGCCACAAAAATCACATATTTTCCTCAAAACAAATAAGCAGTAAGATAATTCTTAAATCTGTTAAGTCTGTATTGGGCAGAGCTCCTTATAAATATACACTACCTTTTCCATTTCTCTCTGCAGAAACGGAGACTTGAGTCAGGTTAATTTATTAAATTAATTATTAAGTAACCTGAGCAGTTGCAACATTACCCACATATCTCCTGGTTCCCACTCCCAATCCTTGGATTGCCTTTTCTTATTAAAACAATTAGTCACTGTAACGCTGTTGGTAAGCGCCTGTAACATTCAAACAATTCAATAAACAGATGAAAGTCTATCCCAATTTGGCTAGGGCTTCTCTGGTCCAAATGTGATAATTGATTGTGACTCTTTCTGGCACAAATCTTTGTATCACACAAGTAGTTGAGTCATTCAAAAAAAGGCATTCTGAAAACATACTTACCACAGCAGTCAAAACAAATGACAATAGACAATATTTGTCTTTGCAACAGTACGAGTTTGAAAAACAAACAAAAAATACCAAGTTAGAACTCTGTTTTCTGAGTTTCGACTCCTCCTTAACAGTAACATTTACCTAGTGATTGGGGGGTTCTCCCATGCAAAGCCTTAGGGCGGCTAAGCTGATGGGCTGCCACCCAAGAGACGATCAGTCTGGCAGAGACCCTCGGCGCCTCAGCGGCATCCTCAGCGTTCTGACGTGCGTTTCATGCTGCTGCCCTCAAGCATTCTGCGCAACTGCTGCTGTTCAGATTTTGGGCCCATCAATCTGAACTGGTAGTAATTCCAGCACTGTCAATTTAATATTGAAAAGATATCACCTAGTTTTAATACATCAATTAAGATGTAATATTCAGTACTGCAGTTAAAGGAAAAATAAATCAGTTTTAAGCACACAGAGGAGGCACCTTGTAATTCTGATTGAAATCTGAAACTGTTCCAGAATAATTCCTTTTTGGCAGTGTTTTTTTTTTTTTTAAATCAGTTCAGACCAATTCCCTGACAGTTCATAACATGAACTGTAAACAGCCACAGTGACATAACTGAAAGGCAGCACACTGCAGTTCGGGGTAAAGAGCAGGAACAGGGCAGAAGGAAGAAGAAAAGGAGGAGAACTGGCCCTGTTTTTTCTGCTAAAGCCAAAATTGCTTTATCATGAAACTACAGACCAAGTTACTCGCATGCAAATAGTTATTTATATGAATATCCAGCACAGGCTTATTTGAATAATTACTATTCAATGTAAGCGAGGACTGCAGAATCTGTCCTTGTATTTCAAGTGGTAGGAGAGTTTTTTTGCCCCACATCTAATGCTGTGGATTCAAACTCCAGCAAATAAAAGATAATCATTATTAATGTCTCTTTAAATAGTAGATTTCATATAAGTACAAATGCAGAAAAATATACTTTAAAATCATTGTCACACAATTTTAAAATAGAAATTTAGGGAAAAAAAAACACACTGTAATGCTATCTGCATTGTATCATATGCCAGAAAATGAAGTCAAACATATTGGATTCACTTTTGTCGCCTCTCTTAGCAGCAGGCTCTGAGAAACCACTACTACCATCTGTAGACTACTTTTTTTAAACAGTCAGAAATGCATTTTGGGGGCTAATTTTCAAATAAGTTTCAAAACTATACCTAAAAGTTTATAGAACTTCAACCTCTGTTTAAGAGCCAAAGTATCAACTGGCTAATTTAGTTTTATTGTCACATGGCACAACTATGTATAAGTATTTGCATGCACTATATTTAAGTTAAAAAGTAAGCAGGTTAAGGGGTAACTCAGTGACAGCTCTCTGACTGGAGATGATCTAAGACAAGCACGTGATGTCGTAAGAGAGCCTTTGTTCAGCGGAAAGCTGCTCACGTACACACACAGGAGGAGTACTGCACTGCAGCCAGCACACGTTTGCTGAAAATCCTTGGGAGTGGGGTGGTTACATTTTATAAAATAACAGCATTTGTTTCCTTTTAACATTGAAATTTTAAGTAGAAATTTAATGCAAGATGTCAGTCGCACTTGCCAATATTGATACACACGGGTAGATAAACAAAGAGACACTTTTATCCTTCACCAGAGTCCATTTGGTACTTCAGTGTAAATTTGGGAGTAACTATCCAAGAGGGCAGACAAATGGTGTGAAATCGCTCAAGTTCTTATCCAGTGCTAGAGAGATTTTGGCAGCTGAGGGTAGGTAAACGATCAAAACAATGCTGAAAAAGAGACAGTCCCTCTTAAATAGGGTCAGCTGGCATTGAGGTGGTTCCTCACAGCAAACTCAGCCACCAACTCGTCGTTTTCCGATCCAGTATCGGAAAAGAGAAGTAGATCCAAAATGCACAGAACAACTTGGGGAAAGCAGTAGGAAGAACAAAAGGGCTTCTTTCCCCTTACAATGATGCAATCGCATTTAGGAGAATTAAGTGTACACGTCTCCAAATCATTTGTAAACTCAGCTATTGCTTGTGATCACGGCCTCCGTTAAATAGCACGCTCCCATAACTAAGTATCTTTTTACAGCTTTATAGCACACCGTCTTCAGTTTCCTCCTGAGTAAATCATCTGGGAAAGCAACTTGTGCTCAATAATTACATTCTTAAGATCCATGATGTAACAAATAAGTTTACATGGCTTTTTGTTTTAATTTATCTACTACTAATTTTGAGTTAGCAGCACTACAGGATACCACACAATGGATTGCCTGAGCAGTTTTCACTGTTCTCAGTAATTCCTTGTATTTTTACTCCTCTAGAGCTAAATATTTGTAATTTTTGCTATTTCTTCTACCTAATAGCCCTGCAATATCTGTAAACTTGCCCCGACTGTTTTGCCTACAGCTTATTCCAATCAAAACCTCTTTAGCATGTGTAAAGTTCTTTGCTGGAAGAAAACAGAGCTCAAACGTAATAGTTTGGTATGCAGGAAAACAGGAGGGGAAAAGGATTCCGAAACATCTGTCAAAGTAGCAAAATCCAAAGCTTTTCTCAGCCTCCTGACCTTTTGCATGCTCAGTCTTCTGTTGTTTTTAAAGATATAAAGCCTTTGAATGCATCACTGGCTCAAATAAAATAGTATTAGCTATAGAACAGAAATTCAGCCCTTGCATTATATTATATCCCAACTTAGCATATTTGTCTCACTAGTCAAAAGGTACTGAGTTTGTCTTGTGATTTAATCAAAGACTAGAAACAAAGTCAGTTTCATTCCTGAACTAAAGATGAGCAAAACGCATCACCCAAGAGTTCCAGGTCTTTTTAAATATGAACTTGTTCCTCGCCTTACTTATTGCAGGCCAAGTGACTTTGAGAAGGCTGCAACCTCTCCAGGCCTGTAATTTTTGCCCCTCTTTCAATGCTTGGTGAAGAAAAGTAAGAACTCTAATCGGCCGCATAGCCAATTAAAGTTTAACCCATCACTTCATCCAGCCCCTTTCCTCACACCAAGTAACAACAACATGACAGGAAAAGCTAGTTGCTTAATGCGATTGCGGAGGGGGGAAGGGAGGCTGCATGTGCACACACGTGGGTACAGATATATGCAGGGTAGTTGTAAGTTATCATATCCATAGGAAAGGTAATTGAAGACACATGCAAAGCCATATCTAGCAAATCTCTTAACAGTAACAGTCTCAAATACTCTGCCATTCTGTTTTTTTACACTTGAGAAAACTGCATCACTGTAACCACATGCATAAGGGGGCTCTGTGTCACTGCCTGCTCAGCCCTGCAACCTGCATCGAGCAGTAGCTAATAGTATTAGCTATTATTGTTAAATACCCTCCCTGCTTCCAAAACAATCACCTTTTTTTGTTATAGAACATGATAAGCTTTTGAGGGAATACACTATAATTACACAACGCCTCCCAGAGAAGAAACCCATCTCGCACCTTCTCAGAGATGACCTCCTCTTCTGGGAATCCGCATGGCCTTGGGCTGAGCAGAAGCCCTCTGCAGGCTAACACAAACTAAGATACCCCACCTAGCAGCAGGCTTTACTAACTCAGGCTTGGCCATAGTTACCACATTCACACAGCTTCCAGATCACAGCCTTTCATACTTGGCTGCTTTAGAGCACAAAGAGAATAAGTTTGTCAAATAACAAACTTATTCGCAACTGGGTCTTCTGACAAAAGCTCCTGCAGCAGTCCGCAAAATCACAGGTTAGAAAATTAGCAACATTGATTATTATACATTTGATCCAGGCAAAGAAAGTTAAATTGGAGGTGGCAGTAAAAAACAAAAAAAAAAATCTTTCTTTTAAAAGATTTCTTTTTGGAGGTAGATTTCCAATTTTTAAATGAGGGAAGCAGAGCTATCACAGCAGTGAATTGAAACAGTGGACTAAGGGTGCTGTAGCCAACTACACAACTGGCTGGTGTGGCACATATTGCCATTTCCATGATGCCTAATCCACTCTGTTGAGATAAGGACCAAATCCAAGTCTCACTCCTACCTTTACATACCAATGCTTAATATTCAACCCTCAGCAGGGACGCAGCAGGCTTCCCCAGGTCCAAACTTTGTTGCTCAGTTCTAGTTCTAAATACCACGTATAAAGTGCAA